TGATAATACACCAAACCTCAACAGAGGTCAATGATAATTTCCCTAAAAATGACTCAATTGAAATAAATCAATTGAAATTAACCAAAACTAACTCTAAAGTATATTTTGAGAAATAAATTTAATTTTTATGGTCTGCTATTGTACCTGATTTAAATTTGTATGAGAAATGCTTAGCTGAGAATTAGGGATGTTAATCACTTCTATTTTTACAATAGATTTCGAGATTAATGAAAACAAGAACCACCTTAGATTGTTTGTTTCGGTTAATTTCAATTGGTTTGTTTCAATTTTAGCATGTTTTGATCAAACCTTTTCAATTTAGTTTTTTCTTTTAATCCAAAGGCATCAAGTGTCTCATATAGAGTGAGATAAGTTTTGATCGTGTTTTTGTTTCATTAGCTTCTATTTTCGGTGGAAGGATCTTTGATATGGACAAATTTATTAATTATCCAATTAGATCCGTGGTTGAATAAAATCACAACATCAAATGTGGACATTGTCAAAAGTTATGGAACTATATCTATAATTTTTTCTAAGGGCCCGTTTGTTATGGTGTAAAGTTGATTTATGTTCGAGCTGTATTGAATGGAGAAATCTAATTAGTGGCATTTTAGTGACTTTCTATAAATTTTTTATTATGTAGTTTTATTAAGACAATATTGGGTTTCTATTTAATCCTTTTACATTCCTTCAAAGTGTTATTGTTTTGGTAGTTGAAACTATGACAATAAAGTAATTTTCAATTTAAACTTTTCAATTTTATAATGTCTACTTCGTGCTTTCAATTCATATAAACTGCTATTTCACATTTGTTTTTACATGTGTATGGAAGCAAAAATCTCCGGTAATACATTATACGGTAGTTAGGCCATGTCTGCGAATCATGTTGTAAGCCCGAACGATTTATTTGGCCATCTGTAATACCATACTGCTGGAGAGAACGCCATGGCCACAACTTTGTGCTATCACACACACAGAGAGTGATGTTTTATACGGAGTAAATATTTTACATGTAAAGTTATTTTTGTGATCAAACATTGTAAAAACTTTGCGTGTAATTTAAAAATAGATTACATAGGTAACCAAACGACGTATCTTTATTTTACATGCAAACAATTTTACATACCCTAAACTTTACATGCAATCATTTTGCCTGCAAAGTTTTAATGTGTAAACTATCAAATGGGCTCTAAGTGTAAATCAAAACTTAATCATCATTAAAGATAGAGAAGGGGGTAAGAGTAAATTTTTGATAGTATAAGGGTGTAAGTGATAATACACTAAGGGCTCGTTTGGTAGTTTGCACGTTAAATCTTTGCACGCGAAGCGATCACACGCAAAGTATAGGGAAGCAATCATTTTATACGTAAAAATAGATTACATTGTTTGGCAAGATGTGTTAATTATTTTTAAATTGCACGCAAAGTCATTGTAGTTCTTCATAAAAGGCATGCAAAGTATTTTACCACCCTCCGCCCACGTAAAATACTTTACATGGTACGGTGCGAAATGTTTTAAAAAAGTGCCCTACAGTTTACATTAATTAATCAAACCAAACAGAGTAAACATTTTACGCCCTTACACTTTGCATGCAAAGTAATTACTTTACATCCTACCAAACGCCCCCTAAACCTCAAGGGAGGTGAATGATAATTTCCCTATTTTAATACATAACAATAACTTTTTAGATGTTTTGCTTAAACTTTATGTCGCACTACAAAAAAACATCGAAATAGGCACGGACTTGGCACGGATTGAGCGAGTTTGGCATGGACTGTAACTTATTTTTGGCACAGTGCCGTGCCAAATATCTGGTGACAAAACGACTTTGGCACGGAATTTTGCACGGATTTAACGCATCCATGTCAAATCCGTGTCAAATACCCTACGAATTTTGGCATATCCGTGTCAAAGCTCCGTGCCAAATCCGTGCTGAAATCGTTGTTTTTTTTTCTTCTCCTCTGCCGTTTTGCTCGTATCCCCTCATCTTTGAATGGTTTTCATGGCTTCCTCACAGGAGATATCATAGATAGGTAAGCATCTCTAGCTATCTGTATTTTTTAATTCAAACTTTTGTAGCTCATAGAAAAAACACCAAAGTCTTGTCTTCTTCTTCTTCTTCAGGTCAGCGACGTTTCTTCTGGTGTGAAGCTCCTGCTTGTTTTTTTTTTTTCCTTCAGTGCTACCTCGTGTCAAGAGCGAAGAGAAGGTAAATGCAACATATGTGATGAATTACAAGCCATCTAACTTCTTAATTTTTCTTTTAAATCAGCTAGCAGATCCGATTCACCCATAGTGATTGAGATTTAGAAAATAAAAACGCACAGCAAGTACAATACGATATAGATTGTAAACAACATACGACTCTCTACCTATCAAAATCTTCCCACAGATTCATTCTAATTCAAATAACTCTTTAGAAATACTTTATATACGAGACCATTATAAATTTGTTTTCCCTTATGTGAATTATCTATTTTATATTGCTTTCTTTTTTATTTTAATTGATTCAGATTGTTAAGTTTTGGCTTATGATTAAGTATTTTTGGGTTAAGCTTTCCTGTTACTACTTATTTAGAAGCTTGATTTTGGGATTTTCAGATTTAATTTTGATTTGGTTGCATATGCAATATTTATGAGCTGATTTTAATTTTTGCTTGGGGTGTGAAGTATGGGATGAATGGATGATTATTACATTTCAGTAAAATGAAAAACAATTAGTTGTATATTTGTTTGTTATTGTGTTGTTCTTGTTCCAGGTATATACCTTATTTGCATATATAGCATTGAATCAACTTGGACTTAAAAACTAGAAGTTTTTTTGGGAACTAAATCATGAATCAAACAGCTTTTAATTTGTAAAGTAAAAATGATAACAGTCTTTAATTAACTTTAGTTCATGTATTCATTCTCTCAAAATATTCAGCTTTTAGTTAAAGCATTCCAAACATTAATTAAATATCAATTGTTAAATCTGTTTGAACTATTAGTATGGATATCTCTCAGATTAAATACTAGTAGATCTCTCAGAATGGATATTCTGTTTGATTAAATAATCTGTTAACATCTGTTAATAAGAGATCTCTGATTAAATAATCTGTTTGAACTATTAGTATGGATATCCATTGTTAAATCTGTTAACAGAGATCTGTTAACATATTATATGTTTGATCTCTGATCAATTGTTATCAAACAGCTATCCATTCTGAGAGATCTCCATTCTGGATAGATCAAACAGAATATTCAATCTGTTAACAATGGATATCCATTGTTAAATAATCATACTGAGAGTATGGATATCCACTGTTTGATCTCTGATTCATTGTAAACTAATTGTTCAAACATATTACTTAATCTGTTTGATTTTATTAATAGATCAAACAGATCAAACGACTGTCCATTTTGGATATATATACTAAACAGATTATAAATAATAGTAGTATTTAACTATTAGTATGGATATCCATTGTTAAATCTGTTTAGTGTTTAATTATTATTATTATTATTATTATATCTCATTCTTTTCATTTACTAATGTGATGATTATTATTTAATGAGTTTGTTGGAGATCAAATGGATACCAATTCTACCCAATGAGCCACTGGAGGTAAAGTAAAAAAAAAAAAGAGGAAGACACCTAGAGTTATGGAGAGAAAAAAGAGAACATGTGTATGGGCACACTATGACACATAAAGTAAGCCTTTGATGAAAGAGAATAAAAATGGAGTAGAGGTACAACTTGGCCACATTCAAATATCTACATGCAAGTATTGCTGTATTCAAATTGCTTTCGAGTTGACCAAGAATGAGACTAGTACACTAAAGAAGCATTTAGAACAACACATAAACTAGCATGTAAGTATATTGTCACGAGTTTCCCACATTCAGCAGTTACGCCGCGGCATAAAAGGCTGATACGCCGCAGCATGGCAGATAATTGCGCCGCGGCATAATTCGTGACCAAGCCCACTGCTGGAGTCTAGAATAACCAAGGAGAAAGGGGCAGAATTCCAGAGGTTAAGAGAACACTCTAGACTCATGTAGATAGATATACACTTGTATAGAATACTCTAGAATATCATTGAGATGTATAGAATATTCTAGAGATAAATCTTAGCCGTTAGATCAAATAGATCTTTACCATCCATTGAGGAGGAGCCAAGTATAAATACCCCTCAAGGTGGTTCATTTGTACACAAGCTACACATTCGAAGTTTCCAAGCATTCAATAAAGGGTTAAGCTTTCTCTAAGGGACCACTTGTCTTTACTACCTTTCCTAGCCAAGCACTTAGCACACACACCACACTAAGGCGTTGGTTGAGGCTGACTTAGCTATCGCGAGGGGCGAAAAGGAGCTAAGGCCGCACATGAGCTTGTTAAGAGAACAAGTCCGTGACAATATTCACATTAAATCAAATATGTCGTTGTGACAATCAGTTACAATAATCTTACTACCACTGTTTTATTTAATGTCAATTAACTCAATTTTAAATAATTTTTCAGGATTGAATTACTTGAAGCTGGCTATCAATTTTGGTCACTTTGGGCATCTACAAGCATCTTCGTTGATCCATTAGAATCATATTAACACATTCTAATTATGTATTGAACAAACTGATTTTTTGTTTAGTTTCAGTTTTAATTAATATTTAAATATTGATGTTTCATGTGATTGTAACGTTGAATGAAGATGTATTATTGAAAGATGGTTGTAGTTTTAGGATCCAATAAAAAGCAAGAACCGAACCGATTAGATTTGATTCGATTCCTTAACGGTTCTACATGTTTTTTCTAGAACCGAACCAATTTTCGATAAGAACCGAACCGGTCCCAGGCCTACTAAGTATTAAATTTAGACTTTTGAAAGAACTCAAACCGTAATGTATAACATAATATACTACGTCATCCCTTTTAAAGTATGGATTTGAAATAATTATTAATAAAATAATTGGAAAGGTAAAAATAGTATTTGATATTTGAATATAATAAATTGAAATGATGTAGATCATATATTCTTTTCAATAAAAAAGGTGATACTTAATTTAAGGAAACATAAAAAGAAATATTTCGTATAGAACAAGTCAATGTGGGAGGCATCCGGCCAAATATATTACAGTACTCCTTAACCGAATTACAATATGATTTTTATTAAATACTGTATTTCTTAGTTTCACTTATAAGATCCATTTTAGGAGTTGGGTCTGACAGATCTTTGTACGTCGAAGCCTAGGGACCCTCGCGCCCCAGAAAATGGTGGTCTCAATTGGTAGATTCACCTGACTTCATCCGCCGGCAACTTCCATTCCAATTCGAGGGCGGGTTTGGGCCACTTCAGGACGGGCAAAAGCTCATTCAAGTTCACAAAAACCCGGTACCCACTACAACCCTCTTCCCTAATCCGGATCCTGTACGCTGTTGTTGACCCTCCGGTTCTAAAACTACAGCAGATAGGGGCGCCTGCACACCCGCCAGCAGAGTCACGGCTTGCATTGATGTAAGTGTGGCAGAGACCGGTGCTGTTGGAACAATCCAGCGGGGATTGGAACAAGCGGTCCGTACAATTGAGGAGCAAAACGGTGTTGCTGCTACTAATATTGAAAGGAAGGGAGGAATTGAGTTGGATTCCGCCTGTTGAGATATCCTCCGTCACGCAGGTGGTTCCTGGCAAGAAAGGTGCGGGCTCAATCATTAGCCGTTGGGATTCGGGTGTGATGGAGGAGATCCTGTAGGTGTTATTGAGCGTATCGAAAAAGAGCACACTATTGTTGCAACGGATCTTGTAGAGCTGATCGCCGCAGTCGGCGCTGGTGCTCAGTGGGAGAGGCACCGGAGTGCTGCCGCAATTGGGGCATTTCACGGGGGATAGGGCTACTCCCGACCATGAGAGGAGGAGCAGGAGCATCACAGGGCTGAGAAAATCGAAAGCCGGGTTCATTTCTGTGAGGACAGCTGAAAGTGTTAGGGAGGAGCTAGAACGGAGAAGCCGTAGCTTTTATAGTACTCCGGAGTGAGTATGTATCATAATTGTCAAAGACCAAGCAGTATTTCTTCGTCAGTCGTCACACATGAACAAAGGGATACGAGCCAACTAGCTAAAAGCATCTTTGGTATAATGTGCATGGTGCACAACGGCGGAGCCAGAAGTCTATAGTTATAGGGGCCGGTCTTTAAAAAATTTACATTGCAGGGACCAAAGTTTAAAATATCAATATATTTTCAATAGATTAAATGTATTTATACATAATATATACTTAAGAATTTTTTTTTCTTGTAGGGGTCGTGGCCCCCTTCAGCCCCTCCCTGTCTCCACCCCTGATGGTGCACACGTGCCATAGAGATAGCCACATAAATATTAGTGAATTAATTTTTTCTCTCTTTATTTGAGTGATTTTATACAGTTTTGGTAAGTTTTCTCCACAATGTCAAGAAGACCGTCTAAATGTTGAAATTTTTGTTGACATTGCAGAGAACAACTTACCAAAATTGTATAAAATCATTCAAATAAGGAGAGAGATAACTTATTTGCTAATATTTATGTGGCTATCACTCATGCCACATGTGCACCGTAAACATTTTAACATTGGAGATGCTCTAAGGGACAAATGCGATCGATTTTTTGACTAGATGAATGTTGGAATATTTACTACGGAGTATGAGTCCGGTCAAAATATTTAATCTAACCTTGCATTTCTTAAAAGTAAATTATTTACCCCTTAAATTTAGATTGTTCTCGCCGTGCTAACACTAATTTTATTAAAGTTAATATATTGTTAAATCCAATTAAAATAGATATCGTAGCCATTTTTATGTAATTTGAGATGTTATATGAAATTTACAACTTCGTATAAGAAATATTAACATGAGAGGGAAAATAGTGATAATAATTAGAACTCATAGGGTAACTTTTTGAAAACACAAGGTTGTATTATGACATAATCTTAAGGAGTAATAGCAATTTTCTCATAAATGTTTATTACACTTAAGAAACAAAAGACTTGCTCCATATTACTCATTCACTCTTTTATTTTTGTTCTTTGTAATGTAATAAAATGTGGAGTAATTATTAATTTTTCCTAGAAATTGTTAATTGAAATAAGAGACCTTATACGATAGGTGACTATATCCTTACAATTGATTAGGGTTCGTTTATTTTTGACTTAAATACTTAACGAGAACAGCGATTTCATCAATCAGCCGTTAAGTGATATTTACTTACGGCTTAATTAAAAGTACGACTTAATCATTTATTCAATTAAAATTGACACACTATCATTAAAAGTACGACTTAATCATTTATTCAATTAAAGTTGTACTCATTCGGTCACTCTCATTAAGGTATTAGTACGATATGCATAGAATATCAATGCACGTGGTTCCTTTACCTATACTCCGTAATATAAATGTATTCCGTTTCATATCGTTTCAAAAGTCAGGCGGGTATAAACGTTAATCACGCATGAAAGAATTGAAAAACGCGGTGAAACCTGGATAATATAGAACGAAGGTTCTTATAAGAATTGACTTTTAGTCTGACTTTTTTCTTATGTTCATACCCTTGATTTAGCATTTAGCCATCTAGGGTGTACAACTTACGTGTTACTTTTGTTTGGGGGTGGAGAAAGCTGGAAAGGAGGAAGTAAAGATAAGAAAAATAACAGAATATGATTGATTAGCTAGATTTTAAGACAATATTGATGGAAATGGGAATAAGGTATTGATTGAGGTAGCGTGTAGAAACTAAAAGAGGTGTTGGGTATTGTTGGAGGTATTGGTCCTACCAAGGCCTCCCTTCCACTTTATTTGCTGAGGCTTGCACCCTATTGTTTTACTCCCACTTTGGTATCTCTACCTTGGTATTTTATCTGATCAATAAGTATACCTATTTGAGTGGTTTGACTTTCCCACTTGGCTGGCCCATCCTTTCCTGTCTGCTGCATTACTTGTCTTGGTAACCCGTGAGGCATCCTGTTTTGCTTCACCCGTGACTTCTTGTCTTGATATCACCCGTGACCGCTGCCAGCCTTCTATATGAAGCTTGTGCCTTCTCCCTTTGTTGAGCAGCCTGCGAGAATAGCCTTTCCAGAGAGCAGTGCTCTCCTTCTCTTTCCCTTTGTGTGAGAACTGAGAGGGACTTAGTGGTTGAGCTAAAAACCTTAGAGTTGTGCAAAGCCTCCCCTACAGTGGTGTGTGAGAGTGTGTAGAAAGACCTGAGCCGGAGACGGATATACGATCCTTACAGTGGTATCAGAGACTGGAACCGCCGTCTGCCGCCATCCGCCGCCGCCGCCGCCGTACACCGCCGGGACTGATTGGAGCTCGCCGAGGGTCGCTGGAGCTGCCTGGTCGTTCCCACGAGCTCACTGAGGACTCTGTTCGCTGAAATCGAGCTCGCTGGAAGCTCGAACCGCCATAGCCAGAAGCTCACCGCCACTGAAAAACTCGCCGGAATCAGTCGCTGGAGCCGCCGGTCTGCTGGTTGTTCGCCAGTCACCGTTTCGTCGTCGAAGGGCTCCGCCATCGAGGTCGCCGGTGCTGAGTTCGTTGATTCGCAGAAGATAGACGAAGAAGCTGGTGACTCCTGGTTCGCATCTGGAACGAAGAAGACGGACGAAGCAGGAGTGGACTGTTGACTTGGATTGCTGAACTGGAGCTACTGGGCCTGTTGGACTGCTGGACTTGGGCCTAAGTAATGCTGGGTTGCTGTTGATATTGCTGGACGCAGGAGTCTGGACCTGGGCTGCTGTTTTGTTGCTGGAGCTGAGCTAAGGGGCTGCTGCTGCTGAGCTGGATTGGTAAGCAGTCAACTGCCACCGGTCAACACCGGTCAACCGCCGCCGGTCAACACCGGTCAACGCCGGTCACAATCAGTCCAAAGTCCAGAAAAATCCCATTTTTTTTTTAAAAAATGGGTAGGTAAGGTCGAAACGCTCTCCTAGGGTTTCGCGAAGGTAAGTTTTCTGTAAACTTCCTATTTGTTATATTCCGGTTTTAATTTAATTTAATTTAATTTATTCCCCCTCCCCGCGGGCCGCCGGTTGATTTAATCCCGGCCGCCAACCCCCCAGGTACGTTTTCTAAACTCACTCCTTTGTGGTAGTTTGTTTTAGTTGATTAATTAAATTACTAAGTGTTATTTAATTTAATTGTTATGCGTAGGGGTGGTTTATTGGGTGGTAGGGGTAGAATTAATTAAATTTAATCTTCTGCCCGGAATTGTTTAATTGCCAAAATGTCCATTTCTTTGCTATGTGTTGCATGCTGCCCGGGGTTATTAAAGTGAATACTTTATAACCCGGGTTGGATTATTTTCTGTCATTTCTGTCTGTTTAGCTTTGTGTTCCTTTTGTGGTTGATACCATGGCTGCGAATCAGTATGGTATGCTCCCATTTAATGGAAAAACAGATTTTGATATTTGGAAACAGAAAATAAAATGTGTTTTAATACAGCAAAAAGTTTTCAGAGCTGTCACTGGTATTTTCCTTGAATCAGAAGATAAGGCTAAGCAAATTGAAATGAACGAAACTGCTTGTTCTACTATTTACTTGAATCTGTCTGATTCTGTGCTTAGGAAAGTGGGTATTCTTGAGTCCGCTAAGGAGTTGTGGGAGAAATTGGATAGTCTCTATACTGATACCTCTTTGCCCGGGAAGTTGTTCTTACTAGAAAAATTCTTTAGGTTTAGGCTTGACCTGACTAAGGATATAGATGAGAACCTGGATGTGTTTAATAAACTGATACAGAATATCAAACAGGCAGGTGATAAACACATAGATGATTATACTCCCATAGTATTACTTAATGCCATTCCCGACTCTTATAATGATGTTAAGTCCGCTATTAAGTACGGTAGGGATGAGATTTCATTAGACATTGTAGTGAATGGGTTAAGGAGTAAGGAATTAGACCTGAAGCATGCTAGGGGTAGTGCTAGTCAGTCCAGGGACTCCGGTGAGGCTATGTTTGTTAGGGGTAGATCTAAGGGTAGGTCTAAGAACTCTAAGCAAAATAGTCAGGGTAAGAACGCTAGTCAGCCTGGGAGGAAGAGGAGTAAATCTAGGAAGAGAGTGTGTTACAATTGTGGTAACACTGGCCATTTCATTAAGGATTGCCCCCACCCTAAGAAGACCGAGCATGCTAGTGTAGCTGTTGATAAATGTGACCTTGGTGATATTTTGATGGTTTGTGACCATGTTAATTCTGTGAGAAAATCCCTGTCTGAGCATGAATGGTTGATTGACTCTGGTTGTACCTATCACATGTCCCCCTTTAGAGATTTGTTTTCTACTTATGAATTATGTGATAGTGGCTACGTTTCCTTAGCTGATAATAAGAGATGCAATGTGCTTGGTGTTGGTGATATATGTCTGAAATTTTCTTGTGGCTCTGTGTTTACCATTAAGAATGTGAGGCATGTCCCTGATTTGTGTCATAACTTGTTATCTGTTGATGCTTTGGAGAGTAGTGGGTTACAGGGAAAATGGGGGAATGGTTGTATGAAAATCCTGAAAAACTCGCTTGTTTTGTTTAAAGCTGAGAAGGTGAATAACCTTTATGTGTGTCATGCTAAACCTTTTGCCGAATCTGTGAATGTTGTATGTTCTGATAAGACCTCTTTGTGGCATAATAGGCTAGGACATATGAGCAATAAGGGTTTAGATGTCATGCGTAGGGCTGGTTATTTTGGTAAGGACTCTGTGACTTCTGTGCCTTTCTGTGAATCTTGTGTGTTAGGCAAGCAGCATAGAGTCAGCTTCCCTCCTTCCTCTTACCCTAATCTGTCTAAGTGTTCGTCTGTGCTTGAATATGTTCATGCCGATGTTTGGGGTCCTGCCAGTGTTCCTACCCACGGGGGTAGGAAATATTTCCTTTCCATTATTGATGACTTCTCTAGGAAGGTGTGGGTTTGCCTTTTAGAACACAAGTCAGATGTGTTTGTGAGGTTTAGGGAG